AAACAAAAATCTTAATATATTTTTTGTTTTTAGACGAAATGCTTTGATATTTTAAACATAGTCATGCATTAAGATATCCTACAATATGATACATAATATTTTTCATCAAATCACGTGCTTGCACGTGCGCTGCAATCTGATTGGCTTAAACTTTAAATGGTTATAACTTCCTTAGTTTTCAACCAAACAGAATGGGATTTAGAACATAGATCGACATAATAGACTCCTACACGATGGTATAGTCATTATGCGCATACATGCACGTGCGTGCACGTGAAATGAGAAAAATTAAAATACACTCAAATGAGCGTTTTTAAAAAATATTTCTGGAATAAATGCTTAAATATTGTGTATATTTTAATACATTGAAAGTGTAGACAAGATGATATGGTCATTACGCACATGCATTCACATGCGCACGTGTGCAATGCTAAAATTGGAATATACTTATAATACTTCTGGAAAAACGTTGTTAAAGACTAAAGTACGAAGAGTTTGTCTTATTTAATGAGGCTTACATGGTATATGGCATCAAAAGGGAGTTGGGGAGCGTTTGGGGAACATCTGTAACGGTCCCCGTTACAATTAGCCCTAGTTACCTTATTTATTATATCTCTCGATTAAAAAGTGGAGGTGTATAGTGATTAGAGTATTCGTCCTTCTGAGCATTTCGCCTTATATTCGTAACGCTTAAAGTATCGATCTTGTATCCTCAACTCCCTCAATATCAACTGATCAATTTACTGAGACTTTCACAGATTCTTTATCGAAGAGTGGTTTTGTGCACCTCTTCTTTTATTTTTCAGTCGGACAGATATTTGACTTCCCTGTACGAAAACCTAGATGCTGCCATTTTTCTATAACAGGGGAGATAATTGCTTTGAATTCATGTTTCATTTTCTGTTTGAACTTCAGATATAGGTGATTAACTACAATTTTTGATTTTTGAAATTATTATTTAGATATTCTCATACGCTTCCTATGCCACTGTCAAAAATATTCTTTTTGGTAATATGCCATTGTTTCCCTCCTATTTTTTTTATTGGACAGATATTTAGGGTTTCCGATAATGAACAAGAACAAAATCATTCTTGAATTAAGGGGGTAATTGTCTCTCATCTGTAACTTTTTCCATACGAGTGAATAAAAATTTATGAGACTTTCACAGAATAGTCCTAATAAGCATCTCATATTTTCAGTTTAAATTTGAATAGATATTTTGAGTTTCTAATTACAAAACATTGACTGTCATTACCTCTATAATATTGATGAGGTACCCAACTCTTATCCTCAGTTCCTTTTATATCTTTGTACATAGCCTATTTTATGTTCTGCTTGGACTGGTATTTAATTTGAATTTTTTCAAAGCAAAACATGAACTTTGCTACTGTAGTCATTTGGGAGCGGGAGGTGTATATCATTTTTAAATAAGCTCGGTGCTTAAAAAATTTTACCTCTAGTTTTGCCTATAACAGTCGCAAATTTTAATCATATTATTGTAGTAACAAACAGAATAAGCAGTCTATTGTTCATAAAAAAAAATAAAACCAAAGTGGTTGATTTATCAAATTTGAACTATCAAATCAGTTCTGTTTAAATTCTGTCCAAGGTAATTCTTATATAAATAAAGCATGAAAATAACGAATAGTAATGATGCTCAAAAATTGAAGCAATACAAATCAGGAGCATAGCAAAATAATTTCTAAAAAACTTCATAACTGGTATCAAATGTCATGAAGAAGTGAGGACCCCTTGACGACCGATCACACCCAACGTGTGCTTCTTGTCATGATCGGGTTAATCAGAAAAAGCAACCCAGTGTGAAAATTATGCCTTACAATTTTTATGAAAATACGTCAGTCAACATTGGCTAAAAAAATACATTGCACGTGTATTTGCTGACAAGGTCATTATATCGACCATAGAATTTGCGAAAATCGACTAAATGCAAGACTGTTTATATCTTTGTTTCATTAACTTATTTGTCAGTAACTTGCATCCTTTTTAAAAATTGTTTGAACGTATACGATGCTCTTGTCATGTGTATCGAATCAACTAGGGGACACAAACTCCATATGAAGGAGATACTGGTATATTGCTATATAAATGAGGGGAATTTACGGTTGAAAATTTGAGTTTAATTAACGAAGTTCATTCTTATCGAAAAGCAACTGTCAACGATGTCAAAAAGCCTGGACTTTATTTGTTGTCGTGAGTGATTGTATAAAGTGATAAAAGCCTAAAGGCGCAATGATTTAATGATTTTTTAAAAAAAAATTTCTTTCTAGATTTTATCTAATTAGTATCAACATCTGATTTAGATCGCTTCTCAAGTATATTGTTTTACAATACCCCTGAAATTTCTCCTTCACTGCTATTAAAATTTTTATAAGGAGTAAAAAAAGAGGCTTTGTAGAACATTTACTGGAACCTACTACATGTATATATCTTTGTTTGTAAAGATTTATGCAGTTAGAAATTAAGAATAGATTTTGTAATTGAAATTAAGTACAGATAGTTCGGAATATTAATTATTAATAATTTTGAAAAAATTCCTCCAAAGAAAAGTAACTCTTTAATTTGGATTACACTGGCAGAGTAAAATCCAAGTTTTCCTCAAAAATACAATGAAAGTAATGAGCCTTACAAACACAGACAATAGTGGTAACTGCTTTTAACTGGTCCAGTGCATACTTATATTGTAATCTATCTAATTCTCTTTTAGAAAGATGATTTTTTTTAATATGCCCCTAAGACATATTGAGATTTTAACATGTTTCTTCTACTTTCGATCCATTCTGACAAATTAGTATCAAGGTCTTTATTCTCAGTTTTGGCACATGAACGGGAATATTCCTCCCGAGAATTCCTAACAGTTTTAATTTTTTTTAACGCAAGTTGTAAGATCGTTCGTTAAATTTTGTTGATAAGTGATTTAAGGTCCTAATTATTTACTATATTTACTTTGCCAGTAATAAGTTCCAACAAAACTATATAATTTAAGTGCGAAAAGATGGATACTTAGGAGAAGTATGTTCTTGAATATCTAGGCACTGTAGAATTTTATTTTTTCTGTTATTGAAAGCAATGGCCCATGCATATTTGTAAGAACACATATAATATTTTGTTTTTGTTGAAGGCGTGTTATTTCTGTTACCTGGATAAAAAAAATACTCCGGGAAGGGATTGTGTGTCCCTTTATGAAGTTTTCTTTTAACAAGCATTTCAAACTGGGGTGATTTACATGTAAGTAGAAAATCATCCATGATCTGATAATATCACTTCGCTTTCAGTTAATTTAAAAAAAATAAAAGTAGAAAATATATACTAATACGTTACATTTGCTTACGATAGAACACGTTTTACCACACTCCATCTGATCATACAAAAACCGAAAAAATACTAAAGTTTTAATAATGAAGTATTTGCTCTTTAATGTTTATCCTTTACGGTAAAATATATTTTTGGTAGAACTACAACTATCAAACTACTATACAGTAATCCTTTGAACACATTAAAAATTAAAAGACCTCAAAGTGAGCCTATTGCAGAGGGGTCTGAGAGATGAAAGAGTCACTACATTTGGAGATTTCTTTCTTAATAAATGCCATAGTGGAGAACGATCGGAATTAATTATGAAATCTTTAAGCATAGCGGGCTAACAAATGTATTAAAAAGTTCAAGATTAGTTTTTTTGGAGATCTCTTTTCACAATTTTATCAATTTTGGTCTGAGCAACGAGCATTTGACCTTCTCTAAATACAAAACATGTGGACAGTTGCCATTGATAAGAAAATAATAAAAGAAATATCCGTTTTTATCCGCTATGTTTGCTATCATTAACACTAAACTGTATGCTTATCTAGCTAGACCAAAAAGGGAGGTTTCTTGCAGAAATAATAAGAATTAATTGGCAACGCGGCGCATGTCCGTATTTTCTTGTGTGAAATGCCAAGATAAAATGCCGGAAGACCAAAATCAATGAGGTTTTAATCAAATATTTATCAATAACTGTGGTAGTTTGGAGAATATCAATTTTAAAAGGGCTAAACAGTGCTGGAGACTATAAATTGAATCAAGAAATCATGAATATTTAATTTTTTTAGCATTATGGTTCAGTGTCTCTTCAAATTCCATATCCTAAATAATTTCAATGAAATAACATTTGGAATGACAAACGAACATATTATTATTTGTCCTTAAATGACATGAACCTATAATTCTAGAAAAACTAAAACTAAAATTGGGACGCCAAATTTGTGACCACGGGTAACTGTGAACATATTTTTATCATTCTACAACCCAGATCTATCGAAATCGTTAGTTTACAGTATTGTTGTCGCAGTCTGAACCCCAAAATAGGACAGAACTGTATTTAAATCAAGTCCGTCTAATCTCAGAAGTCTCCGGGAGAAGCTTTGATTATTTAGGCTCTGATCGCCTAGCCTTTCGAGTAAGCTTCATTACTTTGGAGAAGATGTGAATTTGGTGTTTCTAAAGTATTGCTTAGAGTTTTATTCCAAACTATGGCAAGCCCTTTTACTATTTATTCGTAAAATAAATTTTTCTTTCAATTTAAGAGATATCTCTTTAGCCTATAGAGATATCTCTTTGACTAATAGAGATATCTCTTTAAACAAAAGAGATATCTCTTTTTGATAGAGAGATATCTCTTTTTGTTAGAAAGATATCTCTTTTTGTAAGAGAGATATCTTTATAAGCTAGAGAGATATCTCTTTCAGCGAGAGAGATATCTCTTAAAGATAGAGAGATATCTCTTTAACAAGTTTAAAAGAGATATCTCTCTTAGTTAGAGAGATATCTCTATAGATTTTCAAAAAGAGATATCTTTCTAAGCTAAAGAGATATCTCTTTTAATGAAAGAGATATCTCTTTTCAAATCACCCTTAAAATAACATAATTAATTCTCCCGTTGTAAACGAAAGCGAAACAGGAAGTAATGTTTATTAAGTCGTTCGTTTTTTGATTATTGAAAAAGAAAAAGGAGAAAATGGATTGATTGATACAGGTAAACAACGTTAAATCGCTTTATTGTTTTAGTAAATTACGTACATACAGTACATACAAGCTATTCCAAATGGGTAACGAGCATTTTATAGCATAAAAGTATGTTGAAATTGTTTTCAAACTAAATTGTTCTCCAAAGATTGGTTCATATATTGATTTCAGGCACAAAGCATCGTTTTTGAAAGGCGTCAGGGTGGGTGGGGGGGGGGCGCAACTAGAGAGATTTGATTTTTATACTTACCAGTAAAAGTTGACCAAACTCGATAATCCTATTTCAGGAGGGGGAGGGGGGGGGGTTAGTGGCCAATTTTGTTCAAGACCAAATTCCTTTCACTTCCAATTTTTATAGCATAAAATACTACATTTCCATAATATCACCATTCTGTTATTCTATACTGTGGTAAGAAGTGGGGGGGGGGGGGGGGCAACAAACCATTCAATGCACATTCTCTATAGAAGAGGTATTGTTGCCCCCCCCCCCCCCCCTCTTGTTGCTACGTGCCTGGATTTAGATCAAGGGGCAGCTGAAGTCGGGATATAGAATGCAAATTTAATTAAACAAATAGGAAATGCATGTGACCAAATTCGTCAATCACGGGAATACAGGGTCGATTAAACATAATCCTGATAGAATGTTTTTCTTTAATTTGTTAATAGTTCAGAAATAAAAATGTCCAACATTCCTTTTTTAATTTACACAGGGATGTATATACTCATTTTCAATATTAACTGTAGGACGTTAAACAACACACATGTACAATCAATTTATATTAACTGTAAAGCCTTATGACCCCCTTCCAAAATACTAGTACTCTTACAATTAAGAGACAGACACAGCTAGAACAATCAAAGTGTCTTCCAACAGGCCCTCACTGGGTCCATAGGACATTCATCATTCTATGATGGAACATTTATCTACTTTTATCATCATAAATATTTTACAGGGATCCAGGGGGTACCGAAAAAGGGACAATGCTTCAACTGAATGTGCCATTCATTTACATGTACCAGTATAGATCTGTTACTGAGGCATATCCAATAATTCTTATACTCATGAAAAGTGTGGCAACTTCCAAGTATTGATGCTGGGAATCATTTTAATCAGGTACAGGATAAATATTTGGGCTGCACTTTTCTTTACTTCAATATTTCAAACTTACTAGTTCAGTATCAAGTTCACAAAAGCTCACACACCATGGTGATAAATCAATGGACCATAATTCTAGTTAAATTTGTCATTGCTTTCTTATTAAATCATGTATTTGAAATTTGATCGATAAAATACATTTGTTAACAAGTATAATTCTCCTACTGTTTGCCTAACATTACATCCCAACGATTGAAAATATATGTTGATAGGTTCTCCATAAAAATTGCTATCTGTGCAGAATGTAACTTGTTTGCACATTTGTTTCAACGAACGACATTTTCTTAACAATCCTTCAGTATAACAAGACAAATATTGGATACTTATTTAAATACACTATAAATAAACATCAAGAACAAATTCAAGGAAGTTTAATTTTTGTATATTTGGTAGTTACATGAGTGATTAGTTGTATATATATATATATAGGATGTACACAAGCATTTTATATCATTATTAACATTCAAGAAAGCATTCACTTAATTTCTTGTAGAAGATGCTCACTTCTAGGATGTTTCCAAGTTCTTGTTAAAAGTGTTTTATATGGCACCATTCAGCTACAAATATTTTGCCAGTGGAACTGTGACATCAATCAACTGCTCATGCACTGCTAATTGGCAGAGAATTTCCTTTGGGAGAAGCAAACTGTTTCAAACATTTTACATCTGCAAGTTAGTACTTAAAGGAAGCAACAGTGTAAAGGCTAATGATTACTGAAAATACAAGCCAGATGTAGTACAAATGTACACAAATGTTGATACAAGTCATTTGAATTTTTATTTCTTTGCAGGTAGTGATGAGTGTACTGGAAGGTTTTTAGGATCTCTTCCAACATCATAGGTACAACTGGTCACTGTGCTTGCTTGGTTATATAAGCCGGCATATTGTTAAGGCAGTGACATATGTAGCTCCAAATGATGCTTGACTGTTTTTCTTCAAATTATAAGTAAACCTGGATTGATCTCTGATGCAGTAATATTGTGTTATGTCCATTTTTTAAATTCTATCTTCCCACTGTCACACAGTACTGAAATAAAAATGATTTGATTTTAAATATATTTTTCGGTTTTTATATGTAACATAAAATTCTACAGAAATTAAAATATTAAAACTCCTTCAAAACAAGATTTGTTTGTGAAACACTTTGCACCTGGAGACGACATTTTTACAAATTCGAAAAATTTATTTTTAGCATATAGGTCAAGGTCACAAGGTCATTGAAATTGGTGTCATTTGAAAGAGCTTAATTAATGGAGTATGCATATCATATATGAAGTCTTGATCTTTAATGGTTCAAAATGTATGGCAAAAGTTCAAAATGGTTTTTAAATCGATAAAGTCACAGTAAAGGTCACACGATCATTGACCTTGGTTTCATTTGATAGAGCTTAATTAGTCGAGAAAGCATTCAAAATATGATGTCCCTATCTTTAATGAATCAAAAGTTATAGCTAATGTTCAAAAAGCTATTTTAGCACATAGGTCACAGTCAAGGTCACAAGTCATTGGCCTTGGTGTCTTTTGAAAGATGTTAATTAGTGGAGTATGCATATTAGATATGAAGTCTCCCTCATGGTTCAAAAGTTAAGGCAGAGGTTAAAGTTGCCAACAGACAGGACAAAAGCACCTCGGATCTGGGCATATAAAAAAAGAAAAATAGGAAACTTTACTAAATGAGTCAACCTCAGAAAAAGAATAGAAATTCTTCTTCGTAAATGCATCATTATTCACAAAAAAAACCAGTAGAAATATGTCCATAGAACATTAATGCCCCGCCAAGGGTATATCAGTAATGCAACATGAAAATTTGTGTGAAATTTCAGAATATCTTGAAAAGTGATGCAGTTGAATTGGTTACATCTAGTGTTGGCAATGAGTACCCGGTGAACCGGTTAACCGTCGAACGTTACGAGTATCGGTTAGTAAAACTGCTATTCGGTTACTCGGATAAAATAAATTCTACATAGTAAAGCATAGAATTTGAATGTTTTATAATTTATAAATGTATACGAACTTCCACATTTCCCTAATTTTAAGTACCGTTAGACTTGATCTAGTGCATGGTTGTAGTGAATCAAATTGTTTTGATTAGTTTTCACACTTTATATAATTGATAGCTTTGATTGCTTGGGGTATACATATTTTGAAGGCCTGAGTTATAATTACCGCATTTGATGATATAACGAGATGCCGCCGCAGACATAACAAGAGGCCCAGGGGCCACATCGCTCACCTGAGCAATTGGCTAGGAAAAGCACAGATCAGATCAGAACTGAAAGTAAACTGGGAGGGGGGGGGCTTGAATTTTACATTCCTTCCACCAAGGGGGTCATGATTTGAACAAATTTGAATCTACACTACCTAAGGATGATTCCCTATAAATATAATGAAGCCTGGCTTTGAAGTACTTGAAAAGAAGATTTTAAAAGGTTTCCCTACATGTTCCTATGTAAAACTTTGATCCACCATTTTGGCCCTACCCTTCCCCCGGGGGTCATGATTTGAACAAACTTGAATCTACACTACCTGAGGATGATTCCACATAAGTTTCATCTTTCCTGGCCCAGTGGTACTTGAGAAGAAGATTTTTAAAGATTTTTCCTATATATTCCTATGTAAAACTTTAATCAGCCATTTTAGCCCCACCCTACCTCTGGGGGTCATGATTTGAACAAACTTGAATCTACACTACCTGAGGATGATTCCACATAAGTTTCATCTTTCCTGGCCCAGTGGTACTTGAGAAGATTTTTTAAAAATTTTCCGATATATTCCTATGTAAAACTTTAATCGGCCATTTTGGCCCCACCCTAACCCCGGGGGTCATGATTTGAACAAACTTGAATCTACACTACCTGAGGATGATTCCACATGAATTTAATCTTTCCTGACCCAGTCGTTCTTGAGAAGAAGAGTTTTAAAGATTTTCCATATATATTCCTATATAAAACTTTGATTGGCCATTTTGGCCCCACCCTACCCCCGGGGGTCGTGATTTTAAAAAATCTGAATCTACACTACCTGAAAATGATCTCACATGAGTTTCATCTTTCCTGGCCCAGTGGTACTTGAGAAGAAGATTTTTAAAAAATTTCCTATATATTCCTATGTAATTTTTTGATCGGCCATTATGGCCCCACCCTTCCCCTGGGGGGTCATGATTTGAACAAACTTGAATCTACACTACCTGAGGATGATTCCACAAAAGTTTCATCTTTCCTGGCCCAGTGGTACTTGAGAAGAAGAGTTTTAAAGATTTTTCCTATATATTCCTTTGTAAAACTTTAATCGGCCATTTTAGCCCCACCCTACCCCCGGGGGTCATGATTTGAACAAACTTGAATCTTCACTACCTGAGGATGATTCCACATAAGTTTCATCTTTCCTGGCCCAGTGGGTCTTGAGAAGAAGATTATTTAAAAATGCCATTAATTTTTCTCCAATTCATAATTATCTCCCCTTGGAAAAGGGCCTGGCCCTTCATTTGAACAAACTTGATTCCCCTTCACCCAAGGATACTTTGTATCAAGTTTGATTGAAATTGGCCCAGTGGTTCTTGAGAAGAAGATGAAAATGTGAAAAGTTTACGACGACAACAACGCCAACGACAACGACAACAACGCCAACGACAACGACGACAGACAACGGACAAATTTTGATCAGAAAAGCTCACTTGAGCCTTCGGCTCAGGTGAGCTAATAAGCTTGGAGTTGTAACAAAAGAACAGCTGATTCAAAATCTGTTAAATCACCTGAGCTTAAATTATTCTGAAACCAGCGATTCACTGGACGCACCACATATTAACTATTAATTATGGAGTATGTAAATAATTATATTCCTTGATTGCTACATATTTCGGGGGGGGGGGGGGGGGGGGGGGGGGGTCGAAAAAGAAAGTGTAAAATGGTGATTGACGATGACGTATTTATTTGTCTTTGTGTGTCGAATTTAACTTTCTTTATTTTTAAATCGTAAATCTTTGACGATTTTGTATGTGTGTATTGTAAATATAATGTCTCTATACAGTATATTTGTGCATTACTACTACCGATAAGTATAAAATAAGATAAATAATAGTTATTGATACTTTTACTAAAAATCATCCGAGTAACCGGGTACTCAATCCGAAGATGAAGCGAGTAACCGGTTACTAAAAATCGTTCGATTTGCCAACACTTGTTACATCAGTATGCATCAGCAATTCAGCATATGAAGTTGTAACGCTTATTGTCTTATTGGAGAAAAGCGAGTTCTAGGTCAAAGGAAGGACCTATGTCGAAGATGTTAATGCAGTTGAAAAGCTCTCATCATTATGTATCAGCATATGAAATTTGAAAAATAATTTGTTAAAAGTGAGTCCAAGGTCAAATGAAAGGTGTCAAAATGTTGATGCAAATGAATAGCTCTCATCAGTATGTATTAGCATATAAAGTTTGACACTAATTTAGAAAGAGTGAGGTCAAAGGAAAAGTCAAGGTAAAAAATATTGATGCAATTGAATGGCTCTCATCAGTACATGTGTACACTGTATCAACATATGAAGTTTGATCAAAATATCTTAAATGGTATCCTTAAAAACTTAGTTTAACACTAATTTAAGAAAAGTGAGGTCAAGGTCAAAGGAAATGTCAAGGTCAAAGAATGTTGATGCAGTTGCTCAGATCTCATCAACATCTATCTGCCTAATATGAAGTTTGATGAAAATAATAATCTTGGATAGTTTCTTTGAAAATGAGCATTGATCAGAGCTAAACGCAAAGTGTGATGGAAAGACGGACATGACAAACACTAAATGCCCCAGCTGTATTCATGGCGGACTATATGCCCCAGCTGTGTTCATGGCGGGGCATAAAAATAATTTCTAAGGAGGCATAAAAATATTTGTTGCATTTTCAGGCCAACAATAACTAGAACTGTCCAAACAGGACAAAATACCCCCCGCTGGGTTTTTCAGAATTAAGTTTTTTGATAATAAAGATATGTATCACACATGAATTATGAACTTTTTCTTCCAGTGACTTTAGTTAAAGTTCCCCAAATGACCTTGGATCAAAGTCATGACACACCCTTGGGTCATGGGCAATCTTTGTGTGAAATGAGAACCTACCAAGTTTATCAATAAGATAGAAATGGACCAGACACAAATTATGAACTTTTTCTTCAAATGACCTTGAACTTCCTGAAATGAAACCTTGGGTGAAGGTCATGACACACCCTTGGGTCATGGGCAATCTTTGTATAGAGCAGTAGATTCTAAAGTCCCTACGTAAGAAAGATATGGACCGGACACATTTGCACAGACAGATGGACAGCTAGACAGATGGACAAGGGGGTATAAAAAACAGATATGTTTGTTTTACTCTGACCGACCTGTTACCTGTTTTTGGGCACTTCAAAATTTTCAATTTTCCCCCGTTAAATTCCATAGATGTTTTAAAGATAAGGTATCTTTTTTTTTAGGATGCTTTTCTATTTATGAATATAAGGTCTTTCTAGATAGTAATGAAAATATCAACAGATTTCTGATGATATTCATGGTTTCAAATATGACAGTTATCAATTTGTTCAATACTGTAAGGCAAAAGAAAAAAAAACCTATTGATACCTACCTACCAATCTTGATAAAAGTGGGTAGAACTACATCAAACATTTTTAAAGATGGCCAATGTTGACTAGTATAATAGTCATCTTGTAAAAAAAATCCATACATGTATATATATAAATTATTATACATTTAATCTGTAAAAAAGGGTATTTTACCCTATTTTTATAGTGAGGTAAGATGACAGTAAAGTTGAATAAAGGGGTCTATGTCTAAAACCTTGAGGTGGGGTGGGGGTAAAACATCTCTGGACATCACAGAATTTTTTGTCATTTTTTGATATGCTATGTCTTACAAAAAATAAATTTGATATTTGTCCTAGAACTTATTTTGTTGCATCAATTTCATACCTGTATTTGATTTGTATCAATTTGTTTTGGATGTTGATAATTCAGTCAGTATAGCCTTAGCAGCTGCGACTTTGGATCTCTTAGGAACTGCATCTTTTATCTGTGTTACTGCATGGTTCTCTTGTACCCCTGCTATAAAATAAGTTTTAATGTATACAATTGTTTAATATCAATGACTTAATTCAACAGACAGATTTGTTTAACCTCCCTCTCAAGAATTTTTCACTCATATGGAAACACCGGTGGAGAGCTGCAAATTTTGTCCTATGTTCGGCACTCGGGGCCATTAAGCAAGAAGGTATCTTTTTTTGAGCCAATATCTACTGTGATATTGGGCCAAGGTTTATACTGTATCATTCCAAGGACAAGTCTCCAAATCCCAAGGCGAGATTCAAACCCAAGACGTAAGGATCAACTCCTTACTTTGCGACTCTAGAGCAGACGCTCTAACCACTGTGCTATGCAGATGAATTTGAAAAGACAGAAAATTTCAAAATCCCTAAACCATGCTCTATAAATAGGAAACATACTCTCAGTCTTTAAAGTGAGAAATATGGTCATGTTAAGAGATCTGAAGTTTGTTAAATGCAGCTTCTGTAATAAATTTTTGACCTAAAGTATAATAATAACACAAGGTATCTAACTCCAAATTACAGGGAGTACCCCCTCCCTTAAAATCATGCTCATTTACACTTTAAGAGGAAATGCACGGGTAAACTTTTTACACCTATTTCTTCTACGATAATTTATCTACACACCCATATAATATGGCATGCTTGTCTCTATTTTCTTGTATCTCTGTAATCAGTGTCCAAACTCTGCTTGTTGGGTGGAAAGTCAAACTCAACCATAGAATGGTATGTACTAGTCTCGGGCAAAGAGCAAAATTAAAAAATCAGTGGTTTAAAAAATTCAATTCCATTGTTTAAATATTGAAGTGAGCAAATAGAACTTGTTTACGTCTAACTTTACCTGAAAACATTAAGATGTTTATCAGATGTAATTTTAGAAACAGATTTTTATCCAATCAAAATCTCTGTGCGGGATCAGCACAAACCGTTCCATGAGTAAGTTTTTCCACTCAGCCAGCTACCTGATTTAGTACTGAAATTTATTAATTAGTAATTTAGTACTGAAACAAGTCCCTTTGGGCAAAAAATATGAACAGAAACTCTCGTGAAATACTCAAATAGATCTAAATAGATCTTAATGCACAAAAAGATAATCCACAGACATACGAAAGGTAAAACTTTACTGAAAAATAAGTATATTAAAAAAATATTTACCCAAACAAAAGGGATGCAGCCACAAGATGACGTTAGTACCCATCTAACACTGACAAAACTCCTCCTCTACAATCAGCTGATAAAAACATTATCGTACTCGGATTCTAGAAAATTCTGTAAACAAATTAAGGCAAAAGATGATTACAAAACTATTTCATTCGGCTGAAAATAACAAGAGGCCCATGGGCCACATCGCTCACCTGAGCACTAAGGTTAGAAAAAAGTAGAAAATGGCTTTTTATTGTAAAGTTTAAATCTACCTGTGTAGTTATATGAAATCATGGATTTGTTATTTTTTAGAAAATGTTTCTTAAAAGACTTTTCCTATATATATCTTTAAAAACTTTGGTCGGCCATTTAGGCCCCGCCCTACCCATGAGGTAATATAATTTGAACAACTTTGAATCATGAATCATTTGAATTATGGTGTTGTCATTCTTGAGAAGAAGATTTTTGAAGAATTTTCCTATATATTTCTATGTAAAACTTTGGTCGGCCATTTTGGTTCCATATAAATATGATGAATTATGGCTTTGTCATTCTTGAGAAGAAGATTTTTAAAGAATTTTCCTATATATTTCTATGTAAAACTTTGGTCGGCCATTTTGTGCCCCACCCTACCCCTGGGGGTCATGATTTGAACAAACTTGAATCTACACTACCTGAGCATGCTTCCATATAAATATGATGAATTATGGCTTTGTCATTCTTGAGAAGAAGATTTTTAAAGAATTTTCCTATATATTTCTATGTAAAACTTTGGTTGGCCATTTTGGCCCCGCCCTACCCCTGGGGGTCATGATTTGAACAAACTTGAATCTACACTACCTGAGCATGCTTCCATATAAATATGATGAATTATGGCTTTGTCATTCTTGAGAAGAAGATTTTTAAAGAATTTTCCTATATATTTCTATGTAAAACTTTGTCAGCCGTTTTTGCACTATCATGATTGGAACAAACTTGAATCTACACTACCTGAGCATGCTTCCATATAAATATGATGAATTATGGCTTTGTCATTCTTGAGAAGAAGATTTTTAAAGATTTTTCCTATATATTTCTATGTAAAACTTTAGTCGGCCATTTTGGCCCCGCCCTACCCTTAGGGGTCATGATTTGAACAAACTTGAATCTACACTACCTGAGCATGCTTCCCCATAAGTTTCATCTTTCCTGGCTCTGTGGTTCTTGAGAAGAAGATTTTTAAAATATGCCACCAAATTTTCATGAATTCCCAATTATCTCCCCTTGAATAAGGGCGTGGCCCTTCATTTGAACAAACTTGAATCCCCTTCACCCAAGGATGCTTTGTGGCAAGTTTGTTGGCCCAGCGGTTCTTGAGAAGAAGTCGAAAATGTGAAAAGTTTACAGACAGACAGACGGACAGCTAGACAGACAGACGGACAGACAGACGGACGCCGGACAAAATGTGATCAGAAAAGCTCACTTGAGCTTTCAGCTCAGGTGAGCTAAAAACACCTAATTTTCCCTCAAAATAAACAAGAAACGGATGACACTCTGATTTGTTTACCTGTACTTCGATCGAAATTTTCCTGATGGACACTCGCACCCAAATTTTTATGACATCGTAAGTCGATAAACCATTCTATACTGGAACAGTTATTGAGAAGGCTTCATCTCTTTTATTCAGTATTGGTGCCGCAAAAGACTGCAAATTACATAAAAAGTGATTAGAAATTACATACAAAATGACTGACATAAAATGTTGACTACCGTATATACTCGCCTATATAGTCGGTCCGCCTATAAGTTGGTTATATTTAATAAGCGTATAGTGTCAGAGGAAATGAACTCATGCAATACCATTCATTTTATAGCTCGCCTATAAGTCGGACATAGACTTTTGGACCAAAAATTAAGTCCAAAAAATCCGACTTATAGGCGAGTATATACTAGTGTTGTTACGATAGTCGCCGACTATCGAAAAATCGTCGTTTAAAGGCCCAGATCGGCGACAATCGATTGTAAATATTATCATCGATAGATCGCTATATTTTTCATGCCGTATTTTTTAAGCTGATCAGGTTTAACTTTTATATTCACCAAAGGGACGTCACCCTAATCGGCGGTAAACAAAATGGCGAACGTGCATGGTGAAGAGGTTGACGCCTATTTATATCAATATCCTGGTGCAACACGATCTAAAGTTTTTTGGCTTTCTGAAACAGGGCGATGGGCCTCCATGCAAAAATAATTTACAGATGGACTTGGTTATTTGTAAATTGTGTAAAATGTATGCCAATAAAGATAAGTTGAAGTTCGCGGTCAAATGTCATGGAATTCTACTCGAGCTGAATTAATAAATCTAACCTTTTTAATAGTTCAAATTATCGATTATATAATCGATTGTGTTCTTCCCATTCAATTTGATAATCGATAGTAAAATTTGTCCGATTTTACAACATTAGTATATACGGTATATTATAATTATGTATCATTTATGACCGAACCGAGTTTCCATACTTTTACTTTTAACATGTTTAACAGCGATCTACTACTAAACAATAAACACAAGAAAGTAGTAATACATCGGCAAGAAATCATCAAATTATCCTTATAAATATACATACTCGAGTATAACATACAGTGACTAGATTAGTAGATGGTATAAATCTCCGAAAATGATCTGAACACAAACCACGTGCTTAACCTTACACAAAAACCAGGTCATGTTGACAAAGCAAAAATAATACTTAAAATTGCTGAAACATTTGACATTACAAGGTTTGCGTTTTAACACATGATTTCTTAGATCTTAATATTATATCAAATGAAAGTGTACTTACACTATAGGGCTACAAAGTCACAATCCAATATGCACGTGTAAAATATGGCGCTTGCCAAACTACGGGAAATAACTCTTGAAATAAACAAAACAAAAAGTTAACTCTTACATAGTTGATTCGGAGGCATTACACATTCCGCTTTTAAAGTAAAACTATTTAACATTCCCTGAAAGCTTTGCATAAACCAGAAACATGCTAAACTCAATACACAAATCCATGTCAGGCATGTATTAGGTACCCCCGGAAGTGAGGAACCCCGCGAGTTACGTGACAAGCACTTTCAGACTCTGGACCGAGTTTTCTCAGCTTTTGAAATACTTCCGGTAAAGGGAGAAGTAATTTAAAATGGAATTTAAATAAAAATAATGAAGAGAGATATCTCTTTGCAATAAAGAGATATCTCTTTTTGCTTGAGAGATATCTCTTGAAGACACTTTTGAGAGATATCTCTTTCACTTTGAGAGATATCTCTTATGATAAACTTAGAGAGATATCTCTTTTACTTAAAGAGATATCTATCAAAGTGAAAGAGATATCTCTCTAGGTGAAAAAGATATCTCTTTAGATGAAAGAGATATCTCTTTAACGTTCAAAGATATCTCTTTTCACGAAAGAGATATCTCTCAAGGAGAAAGAGATATCTCTTAAAGTAAAAGAGATATCTCTCTAAGTATAAAAGATATCTCTCTAACTTAAAGAGATATCTCTTTCTTATAGAGATATCTCTTAAAAATAAGAGATATCTCTTTAAGTTGGGAGATATCTCTATTTTTTAAGAGATATCTCTCTAAAATGAGAGATATCTCTGTAATTTGAAGATAAAGTTTATTTTCCGAATAAATAGTAAAAGGGCTTGCCATACCAAACAAATTAAATACTCTTCATTTAAAAAAAAACTTGTATGAATTTTTTATCTTCAAGTAAAGAGGATGAGTAAATACAGACCTGTATATTTTAAATTGAGACGACTTTTGTTTGTTTGTTTGACCTCTTATGATTATGTTTGGTGGCATAAGTGGATGCTCAATTCTGAGGATACATTGGCCAATTTTCTATTTTGGACGGTACAGTTAATATCCCAAGAAAAAAGAAATTACGCGTATCTTTATAGAAATAATCATCACAAAGAGTAGACAATTAAGTTTATAATAATTGTCTAACAATTAGTATGAAAATGTCAGTCATCACGATTTTAAATTGTATTTGCTGACAAGGTCATACTATCAAATAGAAAACAGGCAAAATAATACACTTAAGGGGAGTCAGACACTGTTGATATCCCTGATTCATTATCTTGTTTTTCATATTGCTTGCTTTGTTTTAGAAATCAAGGGTTGAGGGTGCATTACTTCAAAAATAGGGAAGTACGTTGACCAAAGAAAAGATGAGTTTATGTTTTTGAAATACTGTGAAGTAACTATTATTTACGAAATCAATTTTTTCAAGATTCTTCAGATTTGAATTCATCCACAGCTACAAAATTCCGCAATCGAGACAAAATTCTACTTAAGAACCCTCTCTACACTGCGGCCCCGTGGGGATCCGGGTTGGAATAGGTCCTCAGTACCCCCTTGCTTGTCGTAAAAGGCGACTAAATGGGGCGGTCCTTCGGATGAGACCGTATAAACCGAGGCCCCGTGTCACAGCAGGTGTGGCACGATAAAGATCCCTCCCTGCTCAAAGGCCGTAAGTGCCGAGTATAGGCCTAAATTTGCAGCCCTTCACCGGCAATGGTGACGTCTCCATATGAGTGAAATATTCTGGAGAGGGACGTTAAACAGTATACAATCAATCAATCTCTACACTGCGCACTTAAGAGTTCTGATTCTGTGGTATTTTTCTACGGTTAGAGTGATCTGCCCTTAGATCTAAATTTCAAGAAATGGAAATTTACAATATGATACTCAAGCTGCATCCAATTAAAGTATTATTAACATATTAAAAGGCCAAGATATATACCAAACAAAAAAAAGAAACGCATATTCAGATTAAACATAATAATCTAAGGTTTTAGTTTAAACCTTAATTTTTAAAAGTGATTTTAGAGTGTGTTGTGGTAAAAATCAAACAAGTCCTATGTCCCAAAATGACAAGGTAAGTTGATGTCATTGACGTTGCCTTCAAATTCTACAGGCAGACGTTTTAACTAATCCATATGAGCTTTGCGACCTCTCAGCGCTAGTAAATTTCCAAAGTACGGACGGCATGCACGAATACCAGCTCCTCTCTGTCTCCTGCGAACAATTAGTACACTCTATGCTGATTTTAGCAGTTTGTACAGCAGTTCTGAATCAATTGCGCAGGTGCTGAAGGGGGGTCTAACGGTTGTGCCTGGGTGTGGAAACCCGCAGACGGCCAGTTCTTGGTCTGTCATCCGTGTTCCTAGGTGGTGGAGACGTGCGTTTAATTGCTGCAAAGCCGATTGATGTACACCAAATGCAGTTGCAACTTCCTGTTGTGCAGCTCCGGTTAGTATCCTTGTTAGAGCCTTGTTGCGTTCATCTTTGTTAACGTGTAGCATTGCAGCATCAACATTGCAATCAAAGCATAAATATGGGTTTAATAGGAGTGTTTATTCTTTCCAAAATTTCATTGAAAATAGACCACCGATTTACAAGAAATCATTTAAAACACTATTTTCATAAACATGATTTATCAAGGAAAATTCAACAGTTGGGGTTGAAAAGCTCATTTTGTACTTTGAATAGGTCACAGGTATCCAATGATGAAAAAGATTGTTGTTCCATATACTTTTTCAAAATTTCTTTGATGAGTAAAACAATTTCTTTTTTTTTTGTTGAGTATATTTTTGTGTGAAATGCTATTAAAATATATAAGTCGTGATATTATACAGAAAATATTAACTTGAAATCTGTGTCCATGCAACTTTAATCAAGGTTGTTGAAATCCTTTTATTATGTGTGGGAGTCTGCTTCGGTTTAAAATTTAGCATACTCAGAACAAAGTCTTGAGTAGAGATGGAAGACGAACACAACATATACATGTGAAAAGGGAATATTCTACATAAATAAGGAAAATTGACTTAGGAAAAGCTGGAATTACCTCGTTTGTTGTACAGTTTAGTGTTAAGTTGACCCACATCCTCTATAGTCGACGTCTGCTTCGGAAATTAATTATAGAAATTAAGATTTGGCAGACTCAGTAATGTTAGCAATATACCTTCATCACCTACATACAGACTATATACGAGGGTTGTTCAATAAATAATGTCCTTGGTGCTCGGAAAGCAACAAAAACGCTTTTCAAGGATTTAGCCTTAATGATTTTACTTAAATATTTTCTTTTAATTGAAACATATGTCCGTAACATTTTTGTCCAATTTCTGATTGTTTTTAAAACGCATTTTTGAGTATTGTCCTTCGTATACTGGAATATGGCAGATCCTGAGAATTCCTTGACTTGTTTCTTTTTTCTGAATGGTGTTTTTTTAAGCTTGGAAAATGTAACAAGTGCAAGGATGAAAGATCTGGCAAATTTTCTTGGTTTGACAAAACATTAACTTTATGTTTATCCCCCAAACTATTTTACTCTTCATGGCCTGTGGTTTGGACGCTGTCATGACGAAAACTAAAGTAGTGGATTCCTGATTCTATTTCCATCTTCTCATAAATCTTTCAATTTTTTTTGCTTTCTAGACTTCTCCAGATATTGAACTGCCTCCCCGAATAAGAATTTGACCAACAAGACTCCTAATATTTAAGAAAATGACATATAAAACTATATTTGTGCTTTCAAAATTCGTTGCTTTTTTCAGACCTTGGCTGTTTTTATCAAGTGCATCTTATTGTAAATTTGTTTTGAAGGTTTAAAGCAATGAAATCAAGTTTCAATATCT